CTGGTTCCTCAGGCACCATGACAGGTTCTGGCTTGCAGGGTGCCACAACAGGCTTTGATTTTCTGGACACTGCAATAGGCTTTGGCTTTTGGAAATCTGCAGCAAAGTCTGTTTCTTCAGTTGCTACAAGCTCTGTTTTTTGGGTCTGCACAAAATGTCTTGTTTTGGGGGGCACCAAACCAGGCTTTGATTTTTGGGTTGATTCTACTGTCTCTGACTCCCCAGACTCCACTGTGAACTTAGGTTCCTTGGGGGCTATAAGTGGTTTCTGGGATTCCAGAACTGGCTTTGGTTTTGAGGGCATCACACCATGCTTTAACTTTTGGGGTGGAACATCAAGTGTGGGTTCCTCAGATACCACAATAAACTCCTGTTTCTCAAGCACTACAACATGTTCTGGTTCTTGGTGTTCCAAAACAGTCTTCTGTTTTGGGGGCATCACACTATATTTTAGTTTTTGGGACTCTGCATCAGGTTTGGGTTCCTCAGATACCACAACAAACTCTTGTTTCTCTACAACATGTTCTTGTTTCATTACAGCTTTTTTCACTACAACATGTTCTGGTTTTTGGTGTTCCAAAACAGGCTTCTGTTTTGGGGGCATCACACCATGCTTTAACTTTTGGGGTGGAACATCAAGCATGGGTTCCTCAGATACCACAATAAACTCCTGTTTCTCAAGCACTACAACATGTTCTGGTTCCTGGTGTTCCAAAAGAGGCTTCTGTTTTGGGGGCATCGCACCATGTTTTAGTTTTCGGGACTCTGCATCAGGTTTGGGTTCCTCAGATACCACAAAAAACTCTTGTTTCTCAAGCACAACAGCATGCTCTGGTTTTTGGGATGCCACAACAGATTCTAACTTATGGGGTGTCAAAACAGTCTCAGGCTCCTCAGATGTTAGAAAATGCTCCAGTTTTTGAGTTGCCACTACAACCTTTTGCTTTCGGGCCACTTTAGCCACTTCCAGTTCTTGCAGTTCCACCTCTTGAGGCTTTGGTTTTGGGAGTCCTGCAATGGACTTTGGTTTTCGGGAAACTGGAACAGGTGCTTCCTTTTCTGGGAAAGTTGTCTTGGCCACTTTATGTACATAAAAGATATTAGTTCTAAATTTAACAATGGCACTGACAATCATGCCAAAATTAAGTCAATTGTGAAACATAAAACCACAACTGTAACAAAAGTATTAAAAACATAAAAAACATATTAAAAACATACCAGGTACTGATCATTTATGTTCCCCTTTTTAATGGGGAATATATGAAATTTTGGCTTTTTTCTCTTTTCTCTCAAGTGTACACACACACTCACAACACTCATGCCCCCTTATGGATGTACACACATGCACTGATAGCATAACTTAAACAATAAGTAAAATGCACGATAATTTCAAGTAGAATGGACAGGACAAAAGATATTAATAGCATTGCAGGCAATAAGCTGAAGATTCTTTCAAGAAATATCAGTGATGGCATCTAGTTTTTCTTACTGGAGCTTCTGGTATTTCAATCTGCCCTCAGCTCCTAGAATGGCTACTTTCTTTTCTTCTCCTACTATAACTTTGAAGATATTAGCTGTGGTTGTTTTCATGAACCCAAGCAGGCAGAATAATAAAAATAATCAAAAATTGTAAGAAAAAAATATAAAATACAGACAATTCAGATACCCAAGATTTGCCCCTATTTTTCAGAAACAGCCATGTACATCTGTTTCACACACACATGCAGATGGATAGAACAGATATAATTTAGATCTCAGAAAACAGAAGTCCTGGGTAATTATAATACTAAAGAAAAGAGAAAAAACATTGCTTCTGTTATTTTGTTAGTGTTGAAATTTACCTTCCTTTGGTAGAGCTTCTGGTACTTCAGGTGCAGCCTCTGGTTCTGGGACAACTGCAGGTTCTGGTATTTTAGGCACAGGTATTTTCTTCTCTGCAACAACTTTCTTCGGCTCCTCAGGTTCTTTAAAGACATTTGTTTGTTTTAGTGTTAGGAATTTGAAGAATAGGAATTAAAATGCAACAATAGGTCCAGCATGAAAAAATATCACACAGCATCATATAAAACCCCAACTCGATAAATGCTCTGGGTTGTTTTTTTCCTGTTGCCATACGCTCACCATTAATAGCCATTGTCACTTACTGGGAGATATGCACAAGTGAAAAAGACAACACAAGCTGTAACACTTATAAATATTAGAGTATAAAAACCGCAGATAACACAAACTTAAGAAGGGTAATATTTAAAGAAAGATTAAAAATCGTGTGCAATCTCATCACTACTGAACATGTACCTTTAGGTGGTGGAGGTTCTGGTTTTTTAGGAACTTCAATGTGTATTTTTTCTTCTGAAACCACTTTCTTGGGCACCTCAGGCACTTTAAAGAAATTAATTAATTTTATTTTTATGCATATCAAAGATATGTCTGTAGTGTTCAGACAGCAAGATAAAGTAAATCTCAGGGACATGAAAAGCATCAGTGATTTTGTAGGTGAACATGTAATTTTGCTTTGCCTACAGGAAATTCTCTCTGCTGCCTCACTGAGGTACAGATACAAAAACTACAATTCAAGTAACAAAAATATTTTA